CATTCCTGTGGGAGCCGAGCAAAGTAGCAGGCATGACGATAGGAACACAAAGAGAAGGCTATATTTAAAATCCTACTCATAGCTTCCAAACTGGAGTATATTTAGAGCAGCTGCACAATCAGTGACCATTTACCAGCCTGTTTCTGCGCTTACACACATCAACTGCACCCAGCCAAAGGGTTATGCATTAATTAGGGTTAGCATTTATTTTGAGAATGAAATGTATGTGCATTTTAAGCATATAAACAAAGACAGTAACCACAGGTCTTAGTTTACTGGCTTCCAGCTCTTAGGTATTACATATGAACATTTTCCTGATGTTATTATGTTTGTCCAAACAGGCTGCAAATGATTTCTTCTTTCCAAAATGCAGCACATTTTGTTCTCATACATTGCACAAATAACTTCTGTTAAACCAGCTATGATAAAAATACAAGTGAGAAAAAAGGCAGCAGAGTTATGACATTACAGACAATTATTGTGTGAATCCAATCTCTGAATCCAACTATGCAGCAGCTGCTCAGCACCGAGATTAAAATGTGAGTACATAGTGGAGAGCATACGCTTTAGCCAATCAGCTTCATCACAAGTAATATTAAGATCCACTTAGAAAGAAAAGGGAAAGTAAAAAGGAGCTCCACTCATTATCCAGAGGGCTCTCCACTGGATCGGTCTATCATTCATTCACCAACCTTCTCTAATGTTTTACTTTTCAGTGCTTTTCTTAATAGAATGCAAGGAAGACGAGTCTATTGCAATGATACTCAAGCCCGAGAAGTCAGTGTAATTAAAATGCTGATGTGCATGTGTACTCTGATAAAGCTATATAGGAAAATCTTCACCCGATTGATTAGCTACTTTAGGGTGATAAGCAAAGAAAAAAAACATCAGTACATTCTCAGGTCTGCTTTTTTTTGTGTAAAGTCAGGATTATAGTGTGTGACAGTGCAAGCACTTGAAGAGCTGACCTGGTTTTCACTCTGTTAAAATATAAAATATGTATTTGATTTCAAAATAAGTATAAGGTGACAACAGGATCCCAGATCAATAAAATCTGATCAGATAAATTTTAATTTGCACCAACAAGCTAAAATGTTTCCTTTGTTTTGGTTTTAAAGATGCATCAAATCTTTAAAAACCACATTTAAAACCTTCGAATACATTGGATTTAAAGTTTGAAACATTATATTACAATATAATTTTGGTACAGTATAGTTTCCAGTGTGCAATATTGCAATAATATTTTTAGTAGTGTAAGTCTTTGAGCGCTGAATTCATAAACAGGAAGAGTGTTTCTCTGATATTGAGTGAGGGGACACATGTAAGCCATAAATGTTCACTTCGTGATTCATGGCATGCTTCTTTCTGCAGGGCTTGTATTAGAGCCATCTTCACTTTGTACTTGAATCTTTGCCTTTTTTTAGTCTTTAGAGAATGAGGCTGGGTGAGTGAATAGTCAGCATGTTCACGTTCCTCTTATGCAACCATAATTTAAATGTTCTGCCTTTCTTTTAAAATGAATTGTGAAATTGTTTGTAGATCCCCACAGTGGCTCAGACGGTGGTTTTAAAATCCAGTCTTTGCCATTTCAGTGTTTTACAGTCAAGTCAGGATGTTTTTCAGCAGCTCACCTTGACTCTGATGCATTCTGGGAAGCCGATTAAATTATCTAGCATCAGTTTAAGCTAAAGTGACAAAACAAAGTCTGTGTATGTCAGTGTGTTTCACACGCATCCAAGAACATCGAAAGAGAAGATGATAAAGAACGATGAGGGAAAAAGACAATCACCATAGTAACAAGGAGAAAAAATGCCCATTTTCCTCTGCTCTCCTCTCTAATCTTCCAGATAACACAATCGCAATTACTTAACAGTGTGTTTTTTGTGTGTCCTGCCCTCACACCCCAACTGTCTTATGTGGACATTTAGTAATTTATTGTTTACAAACCTGGGAAATGTTGGAATATTCTAAGACAATTAGCCCTTCAGTGAACGCGTCTGGGAAAACTTCGAGGCTAAGCACCATGATGAACAGTATGAACACTGCATCTTGAAGTCCAGATGGGCTGTTATTTCTGCAACTCATTTGTGATGTTATCAGGGCCTCATGCTCCATTTGCTTTGAAGATTGGATTCTTTGAGCCACTTCAGTAATTAGATACTTAAGCGGCTGTAGGGCATTTCTGGAAACTGATTCGAACACTTGCATTAGTTCTGATTGGTAGCTTGTTCTTTCTTTATCTGAAACCACAGATTAATACCCTAATACTTGCAAAACATAATGTGTCCATTCGATATGTATAGCAGCTGCTGGTACTTCTGTTTTGCTCTGTTCTTGGTGGATGTTGATGTGACATTAATGTTTCTTAGTAATGTCCTGAGACCATCCAGTTTATCACTTTTAGTCTGAGGAGACATTAAACTGCTGAGATGTATTGGGCTAGCCCATATGTTATGAATCTAACTGAGTGAGGACACTGCTGGAGATAGCTCTCATTAACTGTATATAAAAGATGGGCACAGGTTGGTAGCCTCAGTTTTAGCTTTTTGATGTTTTTTGTTTGTTCTTATGTAGAAATGATCATAACTAGTGTAACAATTACTGTTAGTACAATTATCTCCACACCATGCTACATTAGAACAATAAGGAAGTTATTAAAGTCAGTCATGGTAGTTGCCATGAAAGGATAAATTAGCCCTGGACCAAAACTGTTTTTTTGTTTGTTTGTTTGTTTGTTTGTTTGTTTGTTTGTTTGTTTGTTTGTTTGTTTGTTTTGTCCAAAGCTGTAAAATTCTTTATTTCTACTGTAAAAGTATGCATTTTAACAGAGAAGTGTATGGGGGCTGAATACTCCTGCAGTCAAGGAACTACAGTTTTTAACACTTTTTTCCCTCCTTTTTGAATCATAAAAAAATGGTAGTACAAATCCAGCTGTGTTCATGTAGAATGTAGGACACAGACTCTGGGATAAATATTAGGGATTATGATGAGAACATTTTTAGAATTTTGTCTTTTAAACTGTTACATTTCAGTATACTCAAATAGAGTCCGGCAGGATACGTACTTACTGACAGCCAGAATAGCTACACAAAACTGGCAATACAAACCCAAGTCGAAAAATAATACAAAGAAGTAAACAGGGCACAAAGAACCTCAGGAACACAGGAGGAGAATAAAACAGGTAACAGGTGGGTGAACAGATGATCTTAAAGAAGACAGAAGGACATGAGAATAGCTAACTGGTAAAAAAGTTAGTTAAAGACCTAGGTGGAAACAATTAAAGAAAACAGGGAATAAAAACAGCTGCAGGAAGTAAATATAACAGTAAGGCAACAACGTCAAAGTCAAACCTGAAGTAACCAAACTATAAAACTAACTAACACAAGAAAACATGTACGGTGGCAGGGAAAATAAAACCACAGAAACACAAAAGAGCACAACAAAACCGACACAATGATGTTATGCGCAGATTTTCTGTCTGTCACACATGTTGTACAGTGTTTTTCTACAGACTTCACACACTTCTCTGTGTCACTGTACAAGTTACTTAACAAAACCCATCTGGTGGAACTGTATTTTTCTTCAGAGCAAAGGTCTTTTGGTTGATTCCTCCCACATTTGATCAGTTTTCTGTTACAAGTAACACATTAATGCAGATAAGTCCATACTTTATACTTCACTGTAAGGCTCCACCCTCTGAGTGTGATGTGTTTATGCTCTCTGTGACCTTCACCCTCTGTTAAATTGAGTCTGTAGTAAAGTAAACAGAAAAACCTAACAAGAAGAATAAGAATATGCATATCAGTGCACGAGTGGCTTGTCCTCATGTGCTGTAGACCTGTGGCTGCGTGTGTCTTTATAAAACCACCACATTTGCAGGTCCAGCATTTTCCTTCCTCCTATTACAGTCCACTCGGTTGTGTGTCCATCTGTAGCTCTCTTCCATCGTCTGTGATTGATGAAATGAGCCAAGGAGGAGCAGCGACAAGCAGAGGGAAGTAGATGTATTTATTGAAGCAAATAAAAGATGGATAGAGCGTGGGAGATAGAGGAAGCAAGAAAGAGAGAGAGAGAGAGATGAGCTGTCAGGGGTGCTTGAATGGCACAGCAATTGCCACCTTGCTTTTCTGCTTCAGTTGAAGTGAAAAGATTCACTTTTGGAGATGATATGTGCCATTCTGCTATTGCTTTCACCTGCTCCACTTTGGGCCTGCTAATGGATGTGCAACAACTGCCGTGCATGCACACACACACACAAGCGCACAACTTGTAATGCAGTCACCACAGAGTCGTGTTCTTTTGTTTCTCAAGCTTAGATGTCAAATCAAAGCATTTTTCCAATATTTAGGTCATTCTGTGAGTTGTAAGCCACTACAAACCTGGAAGTTTTACAGGTATACACACACTTAAAACAGCAATACAAACCTTTCTCTTAACTCAGAGTGGGGGGGAAAGACTTTTCAAGGCAGCAGTAGTGTCTTGTTATGGCTCTGGTATGGATCTACTTTAAAATGATGTCAACAGGAAGTCAAAAGCAAAGCAAGTGCTGCTCAGAACTTCCAGAACTTGGTGTCAATAACATTTCCTCTCCTATATCTTTCTCAGAGAGGACACAGCAGCACAGAGATCTGGATTATATGTTACACCTTTTGGAAAAGCATCAGATAACATGAGGTCCACAAATGGCTTTACAAATAAGGAAAGGCAAACATTCACACACATGCTGCAATAAAAAGTGGATGAGTAGCTTAAATGAACAAACAATAGGTAATGAGATGTCAGAGTGGGGCTGGCTGAAGAGAGGAGAAAGAGAGGACAAGGTCTTCTTCCTCTGATTTTGTTGGACTTTGTTGGCACTGTGCTCGAAAGCTGTGTGAATACGTTACCCCCCTGGTTTATAAGTTACCCCCTTAAACCGCACTGGAAAGGGAAGGGGGAGCGAAAGGGAGGCGAAGGAGAGTGGAGATGAACCAGAGGGAGCAGAAGGAAAGAACCAACAGAGGAACAAACACAGACGAGAACAGAACAAAAAGAGTCGCAAATAAGAAGAACCTTGAAGAGTTGCAGCATAATTATTATCCATTTGCCACGTTTTGTATTGGTGTGGCCCAGCAGCTGCAGGGATGTGGATAGAAACCAAAACAGAGATGGAGGAGGCCAGCAGGACGCGTGCCAGCTTCAGTCGGCGTGTGTTGAATGGCCTGCTATTGTGCAGTGGAGACATGGAGCACTTGGATAAGTACATGAAGGGTAGGAAAAAACTCACAATACATGTCATCCAGAAGCCTTTTCTTACAATACTAATCTTAACCCTTTAAAGCCGGTCAGAGCGGGCACGCTCCGTTTTGCGTAATTATTTTTAAATCCCTGTAGAACCAGAACCTCGTAAGCTAGCGCAATAAGTTTTTTCCATATGAAACCGGAGGAGTTGTACTTACATCTTATGCCATCAGCTTGTCCTCGGTCACGGTTTCCTTCCACATATAGCTTTGCAAAAATTGCATAAAAAGCGCTTGCAGGAACAAAAGCACAATATTTGCCGATCCAATCAGCTGTTCGTAACACTTTTCACATTGAAACAGATGTCAGCACGAACGATCGCATGTCCGCCATTTCCTGCCTGAAACCGGAAGTGACGTCATTTCCGCGGAAAATGTAGTTTTTACTTGTAGGCCTTAAAAGCCTATATTGGTGTTTTTAAAAGTCATGTTTGACTTTATGCTTTTCTGAATAGTTTCTCAGATGCTTAGAACTCGAATTGCACTGCTTTAAATAGTTTATTTTGATGCACCTGCTGCTTTCTTTGCAAATTTGCATCAAATCCAACTGCGGCTGAAATTTTGTAAAAGTTGCACTCGCCTCTTTCAGTCCACTTTTACATCTGCAAGCATCTTGCTGTGAAGTGCTGTTTATTTATAGGGACCCTTTTTTTTCCTCATGTGTCCTCAGACAAGTCATTTGTGCTACAGCTGGCAGTCTGTGGCCTGAGAGGGGTGACCAGGGTAATTCTGGCCAACAACCCGCTGAGTGGTGGTCTCATCCTGGCTGCCCTGTACTGGGCTTCCCCCTGGCAGGGCCTGCTGGGAACTCTGGGAGTGTTGGCCTCCACGCTAACAGCTGTCATCACAGGACAAGACAGGTGGGATGATATAGAAATGCACAAACACAGGCAACACTACAGAGGCTGAAAGCAGTGAACATTTATGTGTCCATATTTAATGCTTTGGTCATTCTAAAAGCACATAAATAAAACATATCCTCTTTAACCTTTGACCTTGTAATCTACTCAGGTTCGCTATTGATCGGGGCTTCTACTTAAAATTCACAACTATAAGCCCTGCATACACACCACCCTGCATTTATTTTTGAAGCCTTCTCCCTGTATTTATACCATACAAAGTGAAATGTGTTTTTAAGGTTTATAAAACAATTCCAGCTGAACAGGAGATCCTCAAATTTTTAACTTTGACTTGCAGAGAAAATTTAATGTCACCCATGGGCCTCAGCTCATTAACTCAACTGAACATTTTATTTTTCTTGAGAACCCATTAAAATCTATTTAAAGCTTTGTGTTGCATTACAGAAAAAACAGTACAGATTTATTACCTTTCAGGGTTTTTTTTATTTATGTATTTATTTGCAAAATGTAATCGTCATATGTAAATATTCCTGTTCTGTGTCTGCGTGTATAGTGTTGAGGTGGCGGGAGGTCATCATGGTTTTAATGGCATGTTGGTGTCTCTGCTTATGGGAGTGTATAGCTCAGCTGGAGACTGGTACTGGTGGCTCCTGCTGCCTGTCTTCCTGGGGTCGGCAACATGGTAAGAAACACATACACGGACGCATGTGTTTTATATTCCCTTCTTGTGTGTCCATTTTATTATAGTATAGTAGTAGTATTTCCTCAGAGTGCTTTCTCAACTCTCAAGGTTTCTCAAGGTTAATGGTTCAGGTAAGGGAATGGCTGTCATTCATGTTGTCCTTTCAGTCAGATTCTCCAAATTCAAAAGAAGATTTTTCCTTCTGTCTGCAGTCGTTCATATCTTTAATATCTGACTCTGTTTGCAAACTTCCCCATCTTTCTATATGTACTGTACATGTGAAAATCGCGGTCAACAAATATGACACTGATTAATCCAAATATAGCATGAAAGGAGGAGCTGACGTGGAGATGGGTTGCAAAGCAGCTTGGACATGCAAAGCAACCAGAGGCAAGCTATGGCATGTTGCCTAAATAGCATGCTGTAAATGTGAGGTGCCGGTTGAATGCATAGAAAGTGTATCAGCTGAGCCAGCAGTGATGCAGGCTGGCACTTAGATCAGCTGATCTACAGAGATTATATATTCTTTAAAATACATCTTGTTATTTATTGATACATTAGCTACTTGATTCTTTTTAGGGAGTAATTTTCAAGTACCCACCACCTCAGGCGTTTTCCAGACTTTAACAAATGTTAAGGTTGGTGTCATTCAGAAAAAAAAGTAGTTCATCATTATCATTATCATTATTTTCTTATCAAAAATGAACAAAGATGAATTTGTTAAATTTCTCAGTGCAGTAATGTATATTTTAAACAAAGCACATTGGAATAAAGCTTCCCCATCATGAGTTGTCTCTGCTGAGATCTACAGTAGTCAGTCAACAGGATATTCAAGAAAAAGAAGTGACTGCCTCAGTGACAAAACGTGCCTCCCACTGAAAAGTCCAGATAAACATTACAGTATACACTTTCTGGGTTTTCCTTTTGTCTATTTCATTTCTAAATGAAATAGACAAAATAGTAATATTTCTAATTACTTCTTCCTTACTCTTTTCATTTTTTCAGTGTCTTTCTGTTTAGTGGACTCTCATCGTTTTTAGACCGCTGGGACTTGCCTGCTGCCGTGTTTCCCTTCAACATTATTATCATCCTCTACCTCCTGTGTACTGGCCCAGAACACCCCTATTTTCCACACCACTCAATAAAACCACCAGGGGCCCTGGAGCCCAATGCTACAGAGCTCATAGCATTACAGGTAAAGAATATGTAAAACCTCTGAACTGGGATTCTGTCTGATAAATACTGTAGAAGTAATTACGTGAAGGTACAGAGAGGCAACTATAATCTGGAATCGACAACTAAAACCTTGAGATATGGAATAAGAATGACCAAAATACTGAAGGCTACATTGTAACTAGGGATGGGTATTGATAAGATTTTCACAATTCCGATTCCATTTTCGATTCTGTTTAACGAATCGATTCTTTATCGATTTTTTTTTTAAATAAAGAGAACACTAAGGTCGATTAGCTTACAACTTTGTTTTATATCTTCTCTTTGAACAAGATAGAAATTTAGGAGTAACATGGCCTTACAAACCCAGCAGTGAGATCTTAAGAGATCCACAGCCGACGGCTTTTCAATGGGGTGTCACAGGGTCCCCAGGAAAAAAAATAGTAAATGAAAAATTATAAAATAAATATTCTTCTGTAGCAATAACAAAGTATAACATAAAGTATTCAGTAGCAATTACACAAGAATATCCAGTAATGTCCCTGCCTACAATTAAACACGTTCACTTACCGAAAATCGGGGGTATCTCCTGTGGCAAATGGGTGCAAGCTTTTGACCACAAACTTAGACGAATGTCACCGAGCAGTGACTATCCTGGCCTGAAAGGAGATGCTACCGGTAGACTGCAGCGAGAACTGCCAGCATCTGAGCCAGACTCTGTCTGTCTCTCTCATCATGGTCGCCTAAATGCACAGCAATGGCAGGTTTTGTAATAAGGCAGATCGCGCTAACATAATATGCACTGTTAGTTGATTATTTACCTGCCGCATTAACAGGAGAAGGACGTGCAAACGTTACCGCTGCTGCTGGGTTGAGATTCACGAGTCCGGAGCGGAATTAAAAACTTCATTTAAGGTCATCGTGTGTTTTGTGAGCAAATGCTTTTGCATATTCGTAGTGTTTCCTCCCTTAAATGAAATATCTACTTTGCAAGTATTGCAAGTTGCCCTGTTGTCATCCGTTCTCGTAAAGTATAACCAAACTTTTGAGCGTTTGAGCCGCCATGTTTCCTGCCAGGTAAATGACGCTCCGCAACGTGGTGACGTCATTCGGGGCGACTGGAATCGATAAGGGAATCGATTGCAAAAATGGCAAACAATTCCAAGGAATTGAAACAGTGGGAACCGGTTCTCAACAAGAACCGGTTTTCGATACCCATCCCTAATTGTGACAGATTTTTATACCTGTCACTCTTTTGATTTTTGATTTACTTTCATACTGGGACAGAAAGTCTAACACAATGAAAATGAATTGTTCATTTGTCTCATATCATCTAGCCATGTCCAGGTGCATTATTTGCCTCAGGCCTTAGCTCCCTGAAGTTGTCCAAATGTTTTCTGTGAAACTGTGAAAATTATTGAGACTGATTTCTGCATATTCAAGTTTATGTTAGAGTTGACATCTTGGTTTTGAGTCTGACTGTGTTGGCTCAGTCCTACTGGCACAATCACCCATTATATCCTGTCTATTCACTCAGGTGCCATTTCCTAGAGTATGAAGTACTGTTTATTGCTATTTCATTACAAAAAGAGACATTTCTGTTTTCTGGCTGTCCTCACTGATATAATTAGAACTATTGAAACTATTAAAACGGATTATGAAATAAATGTGTTAAGTGTCATATAAGCTATAAACAGTACATAAAAAAAAAATCTAAATCTCTAACATCTTGCATAACCAAATAACTGTCTTTCGTGCGAGCCTAATTTCACTGGCACTAGTGATACTGTTAACTTCAGTGATAATTATCACACAGGAGAGTCAGATTTACAGTAACATTACTTTGAGACGAGGATCATTTAATGATCCAGAACACAGGTGGGCTGTGCTCAATGCATTAGGAGAACTTTATTACAGCACTATATCTCATTGATGCCATTAGGAGTTTATTAGTATCCCACACATATAAAAGCAAGTCACACTTTCTTAAAATGTGTCTCTCTGCTGAGAGTTAATGGTGCTGTGAGACTAGTAGAGAGGAAACTAATATTCTTATCCAGGATGTGCCAGAGGGGTAAATATTAAATAGTGAAAATATGCTGGCAAAGACGATTTTTAAAGATTTGGAGTCCAGCAGTGAATGCATTCGAAGTGCACCATGGGAAAAGTTTTAATTAATTTTAGTATGATCCCATTTTCTTCTAGATAGACAAATGCATATATATGAAAAAATTATAAGTGCAATTACTGGACAAGGTTGTACAGTTTGTACAATTTTAACCCACACTTGGAAACAACATGAATGCAGGATGGAGCCATGCCTTCATTTTTTTTTTCCCACCAAATGTTGATCTTACCATCCAAATGTTGCAGCATTAATCAAGGCTCATCAAAACAGGCAATGTTTTTCCACTTTTCTCTTGCCTCTCTACATTGTTCAAGGTTTTCAGAGTTACCTTGGCTGTAAAGAGTGGACGCTGTTACTGTTTCCTTCCTATCAGTTTGCAGCTTTGTGGCCATTCTCCGCTGACATCTGGCGTTAACAAAACATTTTCCCTTCAGTGATCTAATAGGTAAAGTCGCTTTCTTGGACCATTCTCTGTAAACCCTAAAGGTGGTTTTCCAGGAAAATCCCAGCAGATCAGCATTTTCTGAGATCCTAAGACCAGTGCATCTGGTGCAAACAATGATGGAACATTAAAAGTCACTTAAATCAGCTTTCCTCTCTCTGATATTTCTTCTTTCTTCTCTCTCATGTCTAAATATACTGAGAGCTTTTAATGAGATTGGCTAATTAGATATTTATTTTACTAAGCAGCAGAACAGGTGTACCTAACAAAGGAGACAGGGAGTGCCTAATCACTCCACTTTAAGTCCCACCAGCACATTAGCCACTTGATTGGTTTTATGAAATTCTGCCTGAGAAGTATCAAACTACGTGATGGTTAAATGGATTTCTGTTACTGATGAGCTGACATCATGAGGACTTCCACTAGAGATGCTGCTCATTTGCAGTCACAAACGGAAATATTAGAAGTTGGTAGGATATATAATGAAGAAAAAAAAGAGACAGAAACCAAGCTTAACTAAGGCCAGGGTTATCCTAAGAGTGCGCATCATGTTGCAGCCTGGTCTCCAGAGTGAACAAGTAACTGGGAGCACTATATGCATAAGAGCAGCCAGCTATGACTCACCAGTTACTTAGCAACAGTCAGTGGTGGCGCTCCTGTTTGGAAATTATAATGAGTCAAAACTGTTTCAACGGATGATTTTTGCTGGGAGAATGTGATTGCACAGGTTAAGCTCTTTATAAAGGTTACGGTTTTAATTGTATTCTTTTCCGTTTCTATGGAGAGAAAGGGCTTGGATTTGTGATGAATGGTTTAAATATCAGGTTCCCAGTAAGTTTGGGAGTAGGTGGGTGGGCTGAGGTGGGGGTTCATGGGGATTTGGGAACTTGGGGCTCAGCAGTCAGGGACAAAAAGACAAAACAAAGTGAGAACTTACTCCTGAATTTGAAGCTGAAAGTATAGTAGACTGTCTACAAGTTGCTGAACAGTGTACCTTTGTAAGGAATTTATTTCCTTTCATCTCTTGAATTCAAATGAAAGGCACTTACCTTGAGCTGCTTCTCACAAGACAGGAATCCAGACTCTCACCAGCTGCTGTGTTCGGCTTTTGATCTCAGTGAGCCAGCTGGCATCTCAGCACTTACACAGCAACTGAATTTAAATTCGATCTTTGGCAGACCCAATTAGGTGACCCAAATCAGAAAAGCTTTGTGGTCATGTGGATATTATAATGTCTTAACAGCTAGGTTTATGCTCTAATGACAATTTGGCAGTTTAAAAATATACAGTCTATACAAAAATATTTTGTATAGACTCACACAGAGAAACACCAAATACGCTGGCATGACATCAGGTCACTGACTTGATCATGGAAGAATATCCAGTTTCTTTGTGTTGAGAAACTCCTGTGTTGTCATTGCAGTATGCTTTGTGTCATTACCATTGTACTGTGAAACTCTGTCAGATTAATTTTGCAGCATTTGGCTGAAACTGAGCAGAAAGTAAAGCCCTGCACACTTGAGAACTCATCCAGTTATTTCTGTCATCATCAGCAAACACATCATTTCCACTTGCAGCCATTCATGAGGACATCTCATGATTGTGGATTCTGACAGTGATGTGACTGCTTTCTCAAGAGTGTCCTTGACTGGTGGAAGGGGGGTTTTATATCAAAGGAAGTAATTTACAGTCATCAAGGTTGAGGGCCAAATTATCAGCTAACTTGCATTATTTTTAATTTTTATTTCTCATGTTACCAAAGCACACTCGTAGTCAGCACAGACTGCTTTCTCAACGAAACTGGAGCTCCAGATTCTCTCCTGGGCTGTTAGTACAATTAACCTCACAGCAATTCATGCTGTTTGTCAGATAACCAGCACCACAAACACGGTCAAAAGGTGCAGGTTAGTGACTCCAATTAGCCGAGGTTATGTCTAGAAGATAAGCGAGAGCATAGTTTGAACCCACTTGTCAAACAAAGAGGACAAAAAGGAGTTATGCATTAACAAGCCCAATAACCCATGCATGACCTCAAGCCTTAATTCGGTTTATGTAAATATTTTATCCCATGTTGGGCAACATGCTGGCGTGATGGCACTCTTGCCTCGCAGCAAGAAATTTCGGGAAATGAATCCACCATCAGGCCGAGGGTCTTTCTGTGTGGAGTTTGCATCTTCTCCCCGTGTCTACATGGGTTCTCTTTGGGTACTCTGGCTTCCCCCCACAGGCCTGAGACATGTAGTTAGGTTAATTGGTGACTGTAAATTATCCATAGGTGAATATGTGAATGCAAATAGTTGTCTGTCTCTCGCCTTATGGCAAATGGGATAGGCCACTCATGACCCAGATAATCAGAAGAAAAGGGATTGATTTTATCCCATGTGTTGTTGCCACAAAAGAGAAAATGACATATAGATACCAAATGCATTAGGCAGTAGTCAGGTGAGGCACAGCTGCAGGAGAAGCCAACGCACCGGAGCTGCATCGGCTCACCACGCCGTCCTGCGTAAATAGCACTGGGTCCTGAGTGTGTGTTGTGGTTGGTGAAGTATTTGGCGGTGATCTGGAAAACTGCACCCGAGTATTGTTAAAACAGCAACCGTGAATAAAGTATGCTGCAAAGCATGAACGTGTGGTCGGGTCTGCTGTGGATTTATTACACCAGCTTAACGCATATGCAAATTTGAGCATTTTAACATGGGAGTCAGCTGGAATTGAATAGCCTGTGGAATCAGCCAAGAATCAAGTGTCCATTTAGGGAACTTCAGTCTTTGGCTCCTGTGCTTTGACTTCAGCTTTCATCCACTGGAGCCGAGAGACATTCTTTCAGTTTTTGTGCATGACTTTGCTTCATTATTTCTTTAAGAAAATAACAAAACACTGATGGCAGGGACATGACCTTAGAAGACCTGTAAGCAGGCTTCCTGGTATGAAGCTATCTGACAGAGACTACAGACTGAAGTTGTTTCTTCTTTTTTGTAGCACATTGCCTAAAGTGCATTTCTGTACACGACGATATGCAAAGTAACTGCAAAGTTGTATAAACTAGATTAGCCATGCTGCCAGCCGTCAGCCCTGTAAGGTGTCCTGAATATGGAGTCAAGATTTACACACGATTCCATTAACAAGCATCACACCCCGTGGCACAGTTTGTCCCTCACACTAAATAATTACTTTCCACAACTTTCAGCTCCATCACCTCAGATTCTTTTTTTCAGTTTTTTTCCCCACATATCAAAGTTTCTCCATCTTTCCCTCCTTCAGACATATTTCATTGTTTCCTTTCTGATTCACTCCATCTGTCTGTCTTTCATCGCATAAAAAGCTGTTCCTTTAACTTAATAGATTCCCTTTTTGTTTGTTACTTATGAGATTTACACCCTCTAAACCGTTCTTTTCATCTCTGTGCCTCTCTTCCTTCCAGTCTGTTTCCCTGCTCTGCTGTGCAAATCTCCTTCCTCCTTTCTTCCTTCTTTATCTCTCTCCTTCCCTTTAGTTTACAACGAACAAGGTCACTGTGATCCTGTCCCATCCTCATATTCCTTGCTACTTCTTCTTTCCTCTTCCTAATTTCCCCATTTTTATCCAGTATTTATTTTCTGTTGCTCTCTGTTTTACTTTTCTTCCATCAGTCTTCCTCCTCCATTCTTTCTTTCACTCATGTTTCCTCTGGTTCTCTCCAGAGATGGTGATGACGTCGATCCTATTTATATTTGATGTCTTCGGCTTCAGTCAGTCTGCTGAGGATGGTGCTCTGGCTGCACTTCACTGACAGTGTATTTAATCTTGCACAAACACACACGCATACACAGGCACGCATGCAAGAGTTACAGCAATATAATGAAAGACCGTTTATGACTTCTAAATATCCGCGACAGGCAGGTGCACCAGCACATCACCATGGAAACTCTTCATTTAACTGGTTTGGATGCAGCACGGGTGTGTGTGAATGTTGGTAAAAAAAAAATGCTGATTTAAGCTGCAAGAAAGTCACTGAGGTTATTTCAACCATTGTGTTATTATGTTTTTGTGAGAGTGTTTCTGCTCTTGCAACTTATATAAATTCTGTGTAATGCTCTTCAGTATGCTAGGTAATAAAAGCAAAGCAAATAATCCCCTAAGTCCTCTCTTTGTCCAGGTAATACGTGGCATCCCTCTTGGAGTGGGTCAGATCTTTGCCTGTGGGGACCTGGGACCGTCCCTTCTCATCTTGGGAGCAGTTTTCCTCTACTCCCCCTTGCTCACTGTCCATGCTCTGCTGGGATCCGCAGTAGGAACGCTGACCGGTTGGTTTCAATCTGTGTGCTCATGTGGCTGCGTGGGAGGAGTGGGAGAGAGAAAAGTGTTATTGCATTTGTTTGTGCATCATACAAATGCACCACTCACAATAAATCCCAATTTAACACAGTCTTCAGTGATACTGGGATCAACTTGTCAGCATTTCATTGTATGATACATCACCTTAGAGCTCACCACTTACAGGGAACTCCTAAACTTCACAGTAAAATGTGAGGAGGTGAGTATTACTGTGTGAAAATAGTTGTATAACAATGTCCTCAGTGGCTCTGGGGTACCATTTCCAAGCATGAGACAATATTTATGATAGAAAGCCAGCAGTACAAACTATTTATGCTTACTGAGGGGAGAAGTAAACATCACAAGGTAGTTTTGTTTGTGTTATGGGGGGGTAGAAGGATCCAATTTACCTTCACAAAGGACTTAAAGTCTGCCTTTTTTGAGCCTATTAGGCCTTTCTTGAAAACATTGTAAATATAAGACACAAAACACAAAGAGAAATACAGCCTCAGTCAGACTGAAAATTGGAGTAGCTCATGGTTCCCTACAGAGCTGCTCTAGGTCTGTTTCATGCTCTGACGTCTGTGATTTTACAAATTGTGAATCCATTGTTTATCCATATGAACCTGCTTTAGTTTACTTTAGGAAAAATGCACACATTGGACAGGTTGCAAATCAATTACAAGGCTGGAAGACACAGATTATTCATATTCTTATTCACACAATTATCCTACAGTAATTTACATGCCTTGAGATTGATACCCAGGTGGAAGCATGATGATAATCCCAACTGAGTCATTAACATTTACACATAATATACTGGAAAACTCTGTTTATATTAACAATATTAACAGATTTGGCCTAAAAGCTATGCTTTATCGTGCTTTACTGGTTTGTGAAACAGTGTGTCAAAGTTGGTGTTACGCATGTAGTCACACCTGTGCCCAAAAGCAAAATGCAATACCTCTGCCAGGACCTGAAGACGTAAATGTCTGCATGCGAAGTGTCAAATGAAAGTGTGTTGTAATGAGTTCAGTTTCAGGTTATGTTCATGCATCTCTCTGAAATTAAGACATGTCAGCAGCAGATATATAAATAAGAAACTGTTAGCAGCAGCAGCTTGTGCGCACGAAGCTAAATAAAACACAAAGCAATTAGCCATGCAGAGCACTAATACTGCTGGCTTATATACACACCCACGGGGCTGTGGCACAGTGTTCTTCTGATATCTGCTTCACTCTGACTCTGTTTACACAAAAGAATGAGAAACGCTGGACGTTCAGCACTGATTCCAGCCACATCTATGTAACTTTAGTAAAGTGTCCTAAAATACTGTGTGTGTGTGTGTGTGTGTGTGTGTGTGTGTGTGTGTGTGTGTGTGTGTGTGTGTGTGTGTGTGTGTGTGTGTGTGTGTGTGTGTCTACATCATGTGTGTTTGTAGCTATGAGTCATACAGAATAAAAAAAAGAAGAGTGGGAGTGAGCTGGTACAGCTACACACTCACACAAACCTGTGGACACATGCTAACAGTGGCAGGGACATACACACAGGAGTGCAGAAACACACAAACACAAACAACCACACAGACTGCTGCAATAAAAACAACGGTGTGATGGGAAAGTAATCAAAGGGATGTGACTATAATGAGATTGTGTAGGAGACAGAGCCAAGAGGAAGCAGCCTGATGTAGCGTAGCAGCTAAATGCAGACAGACAAAATGCCAAAGTCTCTCTCACTGCTGTTTGTGCATTCTCTCTTTTTTCTGTGATCCATTCTTCTTTCCTTCATTTCTTTGTAATGTGGCTTTTGCTCTTAGTGATTTTAGAATTTTAGTCATATTTTAGCCATATTAAGCTATTTGAAGTATTTTATTAACATGAAAGTCACTCACTTTTGTCTCTGTCATTTAGACACCTGTAATTTCGGGCTCCATCAGAAAGATTTTAGCTGCTGCAAAACCCAAAATTTAGCCGCTAGCCTAAAATATGCTCTTATCCAGCAAACAATCCTGTTCCTAATTTTAAATGCTGTTGTTACTGCAATTGGCTTACTATACATCTGCCAGGTGACAAATCTCTCAAAAAAGAATAAAACTAAACTTAATTTATTATTTTTGTACTTTTTGTCTACAAAAGTCTGATGTATCAGATTCCTCTGCATCACAGATCTCCACAGTTGTTCTTAACTACTAAACTATACTGTATATACAGTCATGAGAAAAGTTCATAACATTTACTGTGTAATTATAAGCATCATTTAACCTCTTGGTATTGTTTGGTGAACCAGAAGCTCTGAATAAATGTAAAATGGACACCCACACACCGAAAGAAAAGAAGCCACAGCGGCAACAATTGAGACAGTTGAGAGTGTGAATAAGTGCTACAAGGTTAAACTTACAACTGAATCCTGTTCAGTAGAGAATTAGAACAAGAATAGAAGGATCAGTGTCAGGAAACAAAACATGGAGATGGAGAATTGAGAAAGGGTATAATAAGTTTTGAAGGGAAAGTAAGGATAAGGCGTGACCTGAGTAAATGAAATAAAAAAGTGACAGGGAGAGAAACAACAAAAGACCTTGTATCATTATTTGGACAAGATAAGTAAACCGATAATCTTTTGTGATATACAAAAAACCTGTATAATTCATCTATGGACTAAATGTCACCATTTTATTTCTTTGTTTGTTTGTTTAGGTTTTGTTTTGTACTTACAAAGTATGAAATCAGTGACAAAAACATAAATAAAAACAAAAAAAATGACTGTAGTGCTAAATGTGTAAAGATCAAATGGCAGGCAGGTGGCAGATGTTCAGAAATGTGTAATTTATTGACAGGCCGATGAAATCATTGAGGCTGTCTCAGCTTAACAGCTTCATCGCCTTTTAATGTCTTCAGAAGGAGGCAGAAAGATACAGAAGCATGGGTCAGACTTGGAGAGGAGAGAGTGTGAGGACATTTTTAGAGCTGTCATTCAAAGGATTGTGCTGTAAACTAGTCCCATGAGGGATTTCAGGAGGAGGAGATCAGGGGCTGTATGTAGGCCATAGCCTGTCTACCTTCTGCTGCATTCATATTGTGTATCAGGTACAGGAGGAAAGAAAAAGTGAGGCATCAGAGAAGTCAACTACGGTTCACTCTTAACTCTGGGTTCTTTCATCAAAAGATTTTTCATCAAATCTCACATCTGCATTTGTGATTTTGCATAGCGTAGCATCAGGAGAACAAAAGAAAGGAGGAAGAAGGATGTTTATTTGTGACATGAAGTATAATGTTGTAATGCATAGGGATGTTTAAAATATATCAAATTAGAGTGTAAAGTAAACGGCAACACCTGCTTTTGTGATTTTATTTAGGCTCTTGGCAGAATTATGGTCAAACTGTACACCAGTGGTCTTGAGTCAGACCTTCGGGTATTACATAAGAAGCTTAACGACATACATGAAGTATTTTCTGTGAATGGCTGAGCTGAACAGTCGGAAATTTCTGTTTATAAAGTCAAAGCATGTTTCTATTAAATTTCATAGTAATAATAGAATAATGGAAATTTCCAAAGGTATGATGATTTCCAGCAAATAACTGTAGCAATAATCATGAATCAGGCCAGCAAAAAGAAAAACTGCCCATTTCTACTATATTTCATAGTAATATTGTTTTCACATTTTTATTCCATTATTACCATGTTATTACCAAGCTGTAATATAAAGTACTACTAAAGCTAAGATAAATAATTCCATCTGATGCTTAGACTGTTGAACCCTAGAGAGTATTAACATTTGAGTCCACAATTTTCCCCCTTAAAAACATCAAAGGATGCGTCACTAGTTGCATGAAGCCCAGAGGATCAGCGCCTCCAGAATTACTTTCATGGGTATAGCCACTAAAAATATTGGGGTGGCACACCTGAAACAGAATTTCCAGCTTTATTATGCTGTTCCTGCCTCTCACCCTACAGTACCTAGGATAGCGCAGAATTATTACCAACATAGGACGGTCTTGTCAGGAGGGCCCACTGGGTGGGAAAGGAAATTTAGGAGGCAAATACCAAAATACCAAGTTAGACATTATGCAAAGTTCGTATGAGTTCATTGCGATAAATTTCTCCACCATTTAGTCTTTTTGCAAGTCACTGTTAATGGAGGAATGTGAAAAAGAAATGGGAGGAGAGGAGAAAAAGGAGAGGGGACATACTGGATTTAATATGATATGAATACTCATTCTGACTCATTCTGATAGCACAGATGACATCAGAAAGAGAGTTTCACATCCAGAAACACACAAGAATAAAGACGTAAAAACAGTAAAAAAAAAAAATTTAGTATCCTCCAGGGACTTTCTCCATCAAAGCTATTAGTCTTTAATGGTGTAGAAAGAGACCAAGTGGGAAAAGGAGGAGTGATCAAACAATGAAGGGAACAAGAAAAGTACTGCGTGTGAGAAACAAAAGAAAATGGTTGGAATAAAAGATGGAGAGTGTGAAAGGAAGCAGAGACAAGAGGGGAGTGAAGCGTTTAACGAGCAGCTGCTGAAGGAGGTGGCCGTAAAAACAGAAAAAGCAAACGGGAGTGGAAGCCAATAGTCTAGCAGACACAGAGTAAGGAAGCACCACAGGGGTGTGGTCAGTCTGCTTCAGGTCCAGACTGCCAAACTGCTGCTGCCAATGCCTTGTAATAAGGAAATCAATCACAGCACTGCCTGAGGGTCATTAATCTACAGACGAGCCACCAAAATTGATAGTTCCTTATAAAATACAGTCTGTAAAACCAGCATCAAAGCGACCACGCACAGTCGCCATGCATTTACACTGTGTATTATCTTTCATTTTCAGGCATTAAAATGAAAATGGCTGAAAGATAAAAAATAAAAATGTACTTAGCAAAGTGGAGCTCATCCAACTTAGTGCACATGTGTGTAAATGATTTATAAGAAGAGCAAATGGAGGATTAAAGGGTCACTCCTCACAACCAGACCGTGTTCAGTTATTTATTTTATAATATTCGACATATCCAGACAGTTAAAAATCCATCACTCCTACTACAGGGCTCGTGCAATATGCACTCTTTTTATCCAGTTTATATAGTCACTTGCATTAGATCTGAGGGAAGGCACTGGGGATTAGACACAATATTGGTGTGGCTCTTGGAATGGAAATATTTCAGAAGCTGGTGGATTATCACGCTATTTTTCACATTGATGAACAGAATTTGGGCATAATGTGTCCTAATGACTTACAGGTTAAGCTTGTTGTTAACGAGTACACGATAGATTGCCATGAAAGCTGATATTGGTATGTCCTTGAAATGAATATTAATTATTTCGATTGTGTCCTAACTATTAATCTGCAATCTACAACAGGTCAACATTTGAATATGTCCAATACTGTAATTAGATTATCTCCTGACATACTAATTAGCAATTGCTGGCATTCTGCTGATGGATTGGGATGCATTACATTAAAAGGTGTTTACCTACATGAGGGAAGTGAACATGCAGCCATTGCAAATTAGGTATATGACAATGGAGCAAAGTTTAAATAATCAATCAGGAAACAATCTAACACAAAAACTTTTCCAAAAGGTCAGATCTGCTCCAAATGTAAGGTTGAAGATGCATCCATCCAGCTCCATCTGTTGCCTTCCTCTTATCTGATTCAGGGTTACAGGTGGGCTGAGGTTATTCTGGGTCGAGAGGTGGGGTACACCGTGTACAGGTGACCAAGCTATTGCAGAACTAACACAAACAGACAACTGTTCACACTCATATTCCGGGGTACACGAAGAGAACCCACATAGACAGAGAGGAAACAATCAAACTCCACATAGAAAAGCCTCAACCAGTCAGTGGATTGTGCGCCACAACACTGTGTTGCAATACTTTTTTCTTTTTTTTTACATTTCAACAAAGGTTAAATATTTCAGAGAAATGTTAACTGTCATGCTCACTGATTCTGGAAAAAAAAAACTTGTTGGCCTTTGCAGACGAACTCAGTGGCTCTACGTGTTCTTACTTCATTGTATTGAAATTGTTATTCTCCCTCAAGAAGGTTAGGAGACATTGTGCAGCTGGTGCCGGAGGCCAGGGAGAAAAAATGTCAGTGCTTTTGGCCCTGCAGAGATTTATCTGGGCCAGCATGCCCCCTGTGCAGTTTGCTTTTAGTTTCAGCGTCACACTGTTGTGGATATCTCGTGTGCACGTGAGTCAGAGGCAAGGCATTGACCTTGTCTTAATCCACCTGCCTTCTTGACATCAAACTCAGAATGAATTAATCTCTTGTGATGAAGATTTGAATGTTATTCTCTGTTTCAAATCTAAAACTGCATGTCACTGATATGTTAAGTGTTAAGAAAATGTAATAGGCAGATTCCCTTTGGTGTGGCCCCATTCGACATACAGTGGCTCAATTCAACCTGCAATATTCTGGAATACAATAGACAAAGCAGGCAAACTGGCAGCGGTTACCTTAGTGATGCATCATATTCTGTAAACCCAGTTACACAAGACTTTAAAATACTAACTGCTCTTCTAGGAGCTTCAGTGAAATGTTGATATTTAGTGACATTTGTTCTCTAATCTGTGCTTTTCTCTTATTTTTGTATTTTGATTGTATATATATTCTCCTGTTTGCTATTTATTCTTGCTGTCCACTATTTATATTTTATTGCTGTGGAGCACCCACAATTTCATTATACATGTACAATGACAATAAAGGCCGATTCTATTCTATTCTACTCTGGACCAGTTTTTGTCTCTTCCTGTGTGTTGATTTGAAGTAGCAGCCAGGAAACATTAAAATGTCCTTATTAGGTTACACGCAAATTACACGTTGCACTGAGAGCAGCCACACAATAGTGTGCATGTAGCACCACCACATGGACAGTTATTTAGTACTTCAGCTTGTCAGTGATGGATACAGTAATTAATTGTTATTTGTGTATTTCCACTTGTGTTATTACCATATCTGTGAACAAGTGTGACTCATTCATTGGCTCTTGTGTGTGGCAGGTTTGTCCATGGCAGTGCGTCATGAATCTCTGTACTCAGGTCTGTCAGGGTTTAATGGAGCTCTGGGCTGCATGGCTGTTGGAGGATTCTTCATCTTCAGCTTGTGGACGCACCTCTTTGCTATCGCCAGTGGTAACACAGACACACAGACACACACAGGCACAGTTATTATCTGTTGTCTCAAGTATCTAATGGCAGTTAAATGACGCTGTAGTTACATAACAAATGATGTAAGATGGCATTTAAGTACAAATTTATTCTGGGGGATGCTCTTCTCTTGCCATTGTGTATACTCTAATATGCACAATAGCTTTCGCCTTAGAAAAAGCGCCCTACCAAACAAGTACCTTGGGTATCAGGAATGTGGTGGGAAATCTGACAAATGGAATATGTGGAGTTACCTGCTGTGGTGACGCCTTTTAGATAAGAGAACAGCTTAAAATGGCTTTCAACAGCAATACAACAATATTGTTTCCCATTTTTAAAATAATATGTTCTTGAAATGAAGTGGCCTTCCTTGTATTTGTCTTACAGAATTAATAAAACAGCAAAACAATATTTTTGCTTGTGTAATTGTGAGTCTCAGTACTTAAATATGCCACTGGAGGGCATCAAAGGTTTTATTACTGGTCCAAATGTAAGATTCCCATTGCCTCTGTCCATGGTGCTGAAGCATTAAAGCAGGCTGTCACTTAGCTTTAACCCTTTAAACCAGATGTGGACAACTCCAGGCCTCAAGGGCCGGTGTCCTGTAGGTTTTAGATGTATCCTTGACCCAACACAGCTGATTTAAATGGCTAAATGACCTCCTCAACATGTCTTGATGTTCTCCAGAGGCCTGGTAATGAAATAATCATTTGATTCAGGTGTGTTCACCCAGGGTGATATCTAAAACCTGCAGGACACCGGCCCTTGAGGCATGGAGTTGCCCACCCCTGGGTTAAAGCAGTCAAATGTATTTATTTTTTTTAAATTAATCTTGATAATGTGGGTAAAAAGTTTTCATGTGTCGAAAACCTGATAGTAATAAAGAAATACTCACAGCAACCAACTTACTTTGAGAGGAAATTGAGGTCAAACAAACAAGACCCATTTACATGGGTCTCTGAGATAGTCACCCGTTTGAATGAAAGGCCTCTTTTTTGTGCATTTATGTAATTTGCTCAATGTGCTGATATCCTTTGACTCATCAAAATGTCACTTACTCCATCACAGCTCTTCTCAGTGAATCATCACTAAATGAATTCTTTTGTTGATCATTCTGATGTTGAATCATCCCTCCTTAAGAAGAATATGGCATGTCTCCATTAATGACCACATACGTATGAAATAAACAGCTTATTGAACCCGCAGTCACTCCATTTATGTACATACACTACTTCCACTTTCCTGTCATTAATTCAGTTTATTTCCCCCTTTTCTACATTATCCCTCTACTTATTACTGCTCCTCTCCTTTTTTCCTCTCCTTCATGCTGAATAGCTGTAATTACACTGAACAATTATTTCTAATTGTGTCAGTTATAAGCTGGAAAGGCATTCTGAATAGACTGATTATCTTTCTATTCAGAATGTGTTTCCTTTTCAAACCTTTAACACATAAATACAGAATAAAATTGCAGCTCAGGCAAAAGCGGTACTGACCCCTCTGAAAAGGGACCTAATCTGCTCACATTAGGTAAATTGGCCTTACGTGGAGCTGGTACTGTGTCTACTGTCAGGAGAAAGTGCGACTAAATACCACAGAGCAGTATGTGAGACAGAAACCTGGAGAGTGATAGGGAGTGAACATGTGGAGGATATATTTGACCTAATCTTTTATTTTTCTCCCGTCCGCAGCCTTCTTCTCTGCATATGCTAACATTGCTTTGAGCAATTTGATGGGAACTGTGAGTACACACAGAGGCCTTTCACAACCCTTTTCACATTTTTGATCCCACGCTTGCAAGCTTGGCTTCTTATGTGTTAAACTCTGTAGAACTTCCAATTCTTCCAAAGTAGGATATAGCTTTCAAATTGATTGGAACTACATTGTGAAATTTAAATCACTTTCTTTAGCCTTAGATGTGTTTACAGGAGCCACCAAATGTAATTAAAATAACTATAACTTTCAAATAAGTAGTTACAATAGATACATGATCCCTGTACTTTATGGATTCAGTGTCCTAAAAGCTTGCATATATATAGAAGGAGAATTTCCAAAAGCAGTGGACATGAAATTTTGTCTCACTTCAGTCTTATTCATTATTAAAGATCCTCTCTCTTTTTTTCTGCCAAGGTTGGTCTGCCAGCATGCAGCTGGGCAGCTACTCTGGTGGCCACACTGATGTTGCTGTTGACCGGCAGTTTAGCAGCGTACCGCATCCCGACTGGTCAAGTGAGAGCTCCTGAACGCAACCTGCAGTTGCGAAGCCAATGGGAAGCTGGAAACACCGAAGAAAGGGAGAGCGCAGATGTGTAGCGTGAAGATAGACATGCACCTGTGTACGCAGCACTGTATCTGGACTGTCATGTTGTTAGCTGGATGGAGTAGACCATAAAAGTTTTAGGTAAACATTCTCATGTCAGCATAGGCTTGTTAAAGATGGTGAACACTTTACTGAACACTTTAAGGAGGAGTTCATTCTATATTTTGCCCACAGTGTGGCAATTAAGGCACAGTAGTGAATTGATCAGTTGTCTTTACATAAATGTATGTATTCAAACCTGACCATTTCTATTAAATATGTCAAATATTCCACTCTGATTAGCCCCCTGTATTATTTTCCTCAAATGACACACAAAGCCGAAAGAAACAGGCACTTTAAAGGGAAAGAAAACCTCTTTTAATAAGCATGAAATCAACAAGTCAATAAAATCATGGGTTTTTTTGGGTTTTTTTTAAATGACAGTTTTACTGTTATTGTCAATAAAAACACAGACTGAATTCTAGTTTGTTTTTTGTTTTTTTTGGTAGGTTTTTTTTTCCAACTCGTTCATTACCCTGCATAGACATACAACAGCACTCCACTGGAACTCACTGTAAACACAGACCATACATGTTGCTCAATGCAGGCAGGAAACTGGATAATGAGACGCTGAATTTAACTGTGGTCAGCTGCGTAGGCCTGGAATTTAAAGGCAACTGCTTTTATTATTATTACTTTTATCATTATTATTATTACTATTATTCTTATGACACTTGTTAAAAATTCTCCCAAATCAAAAACATTGTAGTTCACTACGCTTTCTTTTTTCACAGTGCTCCATGTTGCCTGTGTAGATTGTTCACGTACATATATTTCCCATCATCACCCTAAACACGCACGCCTACATTCACACACGCACTTTTAAATTAGAAAAAAATAATAATAACACTGAATTTCCATAAAGGTGAAACAACAGCGTTCTGCAACAAACAATGTGACATCTTCTCTAAAGATTTCCTCTACATCATGCATATTTTGCTGCCTTTTTTTACTCTTCTACACAATTATCAGATCTGGGACTACATGAAGTACTTAACAGACAATGCTGATGAAGCTGGTAAGAAGAAGAAACTTACAAAAGTGCCTTTCAGTCTGTGATTGATCGAGCATAATAGTTAAAAAAAGTAGAAATATAAATACCTGCACAAACAGTAGTTGCGTCTTCTTAAGCTGCATTACAAAAAAAGAACATTCATAGTTCTACATACTTTAAGTTGAAGATTTGATTGTGAGTGTCATTGTGCTTGTTTAGAATGAGTGTATGTGTTTGTGTTTGTATGTGCACACGGGCGCAAGTGTGTGTGTGTGTGTGTGTGTTAATCGCAAAGCTGGAAATCACCAACTGTACTTGGAACATTATACATGACGATGCTTCAGGCCCACCACTGCTGACCAATCACAATCTTGTGGTGTCATGAAGTGACACCTTCAGGGCTTCTTGAAAGGCTTTCCAACATCTGGTTAATGTTTTGATAACTCCAACATTTTCTCAAACTGTTTAATTGCATAATTCTAACTTAACTTTAAAAAATGAAGAGGGTGGGCCGCTTAGTCAAACGATGATGATTTATCAATGGCTTTTGGTTTCATGTGCAACATAAACCCCAGAGTCCTGGGTGAAAGTCCTGTGGTTAACACAGTGAAGCACCATAACGTGCCCTTTATCTTTCTCCTTTTTCTGGCTCTCTGCGCTTTTGTCTGACTTCCTAACAGCCTTTTCATAAATCTTTAAGCTATGACATCACAACAACATGATTGGCCAGTTGCAGTAACAGTCCTGGAAAAGCAATAATTGTATTTTACTAATAGTCATAGAAAGTTGTAGAAACAACATCTATGTAATGATGAGACAGACCTGTGTTCACTGCTGTTTAGAATAGAGGCAGAACCACAAAGTTGTCTTGGTTTGTATTTTTTTGGCACTCACTCACACATGCATACATCTCATACAAAATACACACGTGTACCACCACCTAGGCCAGTGTGTAGCAGTTTTTACACACTGACAATGTCTGTAAGATCTGACAGCTGTATAAATTTTGTCAAATGAGGGAGCGGTATCAGTTATATCTAACTCAAATATGTGTAAACTTTAGATTGTGTATGTGTCTGAGTGTGTGTTACTGTGTTTCTCATGAATTTTAGCACGCATGCGTTTGCATTTTCTTGTTTTGTTCCTACGTCATAACAGCTACAATGGCTGTCCACAAAAAATCATGTATGTTCAAGCATGCCAGTACAATGGTATTCGTTTGTGTCCCTATTCTCTGAACAGCCACACAGTTTTTTGTTCTTCATGCACGTAAACATTCATCTAATCTAAGCGAGTGTAAACAGTGATGCCAGCCTAGTTCTGATTTGATGTTAGCATACTTTTTAAACCAGCAGGACAGGCACTGGAAAACATCCTAATTTAAAAAGGAAAAAGAAAACGACCATTTATAAACAAGCGAAGAGAGGAGGACGCTAGGTTAGCCACAGAAGCTTTTCCTGGGCAAGTTTTGTAAAGGATTATTTCATCTTGACTTAGAAGTAGTTTGAAGATTGACAACACGCTCCGTGAGTGGTTAATATGAAGCTACGGCTAGTTTAGCACGCTGGAAGCAGGGAGACAGGCACGTCTACCTCAGTCCAAAGCTGACAACATCTGCCTACCAGCACCAAGCTCGGTCATTACATTAAATATCACTCAGTCGGGACCACTTTGTACAAAAGAACACAGTTATTTCCATCTGCAGTAACTTCTGTTGGGCAGCATGGCTTGTTTCTGGGACTTTCTTGCCTTTTTCGGGTGTACGCATGGAAAATTTAAGGCAGGAAAAGCATCACCAAGACCACAGATATGGTACTAATTATGCCAGACACAAGCTGAAAGGAGGAGCTAGGGTGGAGGTAGTGTGCAAAGTGTTTTGTATGCACAGCAACTCTGGGCAGCTATAGAAGCTTAAATAGGATCCTCTGTAGCTAATTACATGTGTAGAAGAGTCTGGCAATGAAATCAGCACTCCTAAGCCCAAGACTCCCAAAACATTACTATGGCTATATTTAAGAAATAATTGGACGCGTTAGTCTTTGGACAGAGAGCAGGTAGAGTACAAAGAGGTTTCTTTTTTTGTCAACAATGCATGGCTGCAATTTCAGAAAATTAACCTGATGAAAGCGGTGCAAATAAATCAAACTAGTAGTGTTGTCAGCTTAAAACTCCGCAAAAATAAGCAAATAAGAAAAATACTAAAAACTCAATAACACTGATTATTCCAGCTTAAAAAAAATGTGCATACATGTATGATGAAAAGACCTACGGCCCACAGAGCTGCTTGGATCGAGCACTCCGCTACAATCTCAAACTCTTCTGTTGCTCACTTTCTTTGAGAAATCTTCTAATCCTCAGTCGTGGATGGAATCTGAGACAGATTAGCACAGCCCTGCTGAAGGTTTAAACTCTAAGCTTATTTTATATTTTGTAAATCCCTCCAAAAGCTCTGGGTTGATCCCCATTACTGCCACACAGACTCAAAGGAATCCAGAATTGTCACTCAAAATAAGGTTTCTTCTCTTGATGGAGAAAATATGGACCTCACTTCTTGGCAAAGCACAGTTGTTTATGTCTGTGCCGTGCACACTGCATTTCTAACACCTCTCTGTGCATAAGTGCCTTTGTGTATCTACCACATCAGTGCAAATGTCTTTGTTGTTTGTCGTGGTGTGTTTGTGTGCCTGTGTGTGTGAGATCATGTGAGTGTTTTGTGTGTTCTATGTTCACAGCAGCCGTCCCAGCACCACCCCCTCCCTGCTTCTGGCTTCTCCCTGAGGATCTCCAGGAAGCCCAGTTTAGTCAAGAACTCCAGCCTCTGACGGTCTGTTGGCTGCACCTCACAGAACACACCCTGAGAACCTAGACCACACACACCGTGCAAAAATGGCAAAGCAAAGAGGCAGTCATTGACAGATCAGTTTTTCTCCAAGAATAAATCATACAAATATACAAGCAACATATAAATACAGACTTACATAACAAAATCCCTTTACACAGTCTAAAGAAGCAACATAATCAGCAATTACAACTAATAACTCATATTTAATGGTGTGAAAACAACTACAGGTAGCTTTTCCCTTAAACCCTTCTTGCATTATTGGAGTATTCTTCCACCCTCCACATGTCTTTTCTGCTCTTTTCTCATCCTCTAATCCTTTTACTTATCCTTGAGGGTATAAGCGCATACGGATTCATGCTAATATATGCAGCAGAATTTTATTTAACAAAAGACACACTCGCAAACACACACGTGGAGCTTACCATTGGCCTTTAGCGCAGTGAGGAGGGCGGTGAGCAGGGTGCGGCTGATGCTGATGTCCACCAGCTCGGGCAGGGCGTCCAGTCGCAACTGCGAGGGAAGTGGTAGAGCAGCGAGTCTGGGTACTCGCCCTGATCCTCCTCCATCAGCTGAATCAGGTCCTGCACAAAGGAGAGCAGAGGCACAGATGCACTTTCACATGTTGCAGAAGATTGTTCTTCCTCCAGCTGCCACTAGATGTTACCAATTAGGCACGTTTGGTACCAGACTCGTTTCCAGTTACCCAGCAACCTTAAAACCTTACAATGAATACAAACACACAGTAAACACTAATTATCATTACAAATTAGGATTTGCTGACGCTACATTTTAAGTGTACAAGTACTGCCTGGTGGCCCCAGCAGACACTCCTTAATCAGCAGCTTTTATATTTATTTTTTTTTTTTTTAATATTTTTATTGAGAGACAAGTGTACAGTAGTTTACAATGACAACACAATCTGTTCCCCTCACATATTTTTTAGTTTTTCTTACATGAACAGACACAATAACACACACACACAGGCACACCTACACACACGCTTAAGTAAACAAACAAAACCTAATAAGAAACCCAAAACAAACACAAACCCCAAAAGGGGGAAAAAAAAAAAAAAAAGGGGGGGGAAGAGACATGATATTAATCAGCTGGTAGAGCGTTTAATGACTTGCAATAGTCCACGAAGGGGCCCCAGATAGAATAAATTCTCTGTATTTGCCCTTCGCCACAAGGCCTATCTTTTGCAATTTAAGAGATGACATCACATCTCTAAACCAAAAAGAAACTGAAGGTGGCTTTGAAGATTTCAAAGGAGTAAGATGCAACGTCTAGCAAAAGTGATGTAAAGGCTAATATTTTGAAGTGTGTAGGGTCGGTTAGACCAGTGTTGACTGGAAGCCCAAAAACAGCTAGAAAAGGGTCCATGCAGATTTGGGTCCCAAGAGCTTTGGAAAGAATAACTGAATACTGACTCCAGAAGCCATGGAGTCTTGGGCACAGAAAGAACATATGGCCTAGGTCACATGGGGTGGCATGACATCTCTCACACTGATCCATCACTTGTGGGTAAATCTCAGACAGACGAGACTTTGAATAGTAAACCCTGTGCAACACCTTGAACTGGATGAGTTGTAACCTGGCACAGGACGTACTATAACGGACATTGGATACTGCTTTCCCATTGCTGATCCGAAAAAATTATTCCTAACTCCTGCTCCCAAGCCCCCCTAATTTAGCAACGGAATGGACATTTAAATCCATAAGTTGTTTATATATTAAAGATATAATTGACTTCTTATTGGGTTTAAGGGATAAGAATTCCTCCACGGTTGGACATTTGGGAGAAGAGGGTAGGAGGGGAAGAGAGCAGAAGTGCAATGCCGTGCCTGAAAATAACGGAATAGATTGGTAGCCGGAAGATTTGTTTCTGAACACAGGTCTAAAAAAGTTAAGAAAGTGCCATCTTTATAGAGATCCTTAAATGTATTAATACCATGACGCTTCCACTGTACATAGGTACCATCAATGAGGCCAGGAGTAAACAGATGGTTCTGCGTGATGGGCATGTGTACTGACGCAGAGATGTACTTAAAATGACTCCTGAATTGTGACCAGACCCTTAGACTAGACTGTACCACGGGATTTTGGGTGAAATGAGAAGGCTTAAGTGGTAGTGGAGAGAATAATAAAGCTTTAAGGATGAGGAAGTGCACGACAGGCGTTCCAGTTTGCACCACAGCAGGTCTTGAGATCAAGCCAATGGGTCAATTTGTGAACATGAGAGGACCAATAGTAAAATAAAAGTTAGGCAAGGCAAGACCACCATCAAATGTCAGTCTCTGTAATAATGATTTCCTCACCCTGGGGTGTTTCCCTCCCCACAAAAACGATGTAGCTTTTATATTTATATGCAAAGACTTCTGGGATGAGTCTAATGTACTTCCTGTCTCAGAAGCTGATGAGCATTTTTCTTGGAACTGAGTTAGCTAACAGCAACTAGATTTCAAGTGAGGTAATGTAATAAGCAGCTATTTGTATACATACCAGTAATATGTAACTATGTGACACAAAACAGGGGGAAAATAATTAAATGTTCTCTATAAACAGATAAATGCTTATGAATATGTAGCATCGGTCGATGAGGGAGGCCATTTTTGGTAGATTCTTTAACCCATTTGTAACCCACTTGTATTCCTGACCAATCAAATTTGAGCATACTATGGCTGAATGTTAGTAAACAGTCCTGTGGAGAGAAAATGCAAGCTCAATCCAAGATTTTGACAATCGTTTTTTCTTTGTTTTCATTTTGCTGCATTTGTAAACACTGACCAGTAGATGGAACTGGAGGCGCTGGCGTGGATATCTACTGGCTACACTGGAAGCCTCTTAAGGTGCCAGCCTCCCAACTGAGCGGACTAACCGATGGATTCCTAGATCGAACATTCTTGTTCCCTAGCCAGTTTGCATGTGACGAAAGCTTTCAGCTGGTAAACTTTAAATTTGTCTGCACCTGTGGCTGCCTGCTGACGTGTGAATGATCCACAGCATAGCTGTCAGCGGCTAAATGAATCCTCCACACATGTCAGAGTTTGACTCTGTCTGCTGTTCACCACCATTTATGCTTGGCTCTTTGCCAGAGATCACTGATAGTGAGATGGGCAAAACAACATCAGCCGTGTGCGTTACTTGTACTTGAGTTCTCATAACCATTCTGTATTTTAAAGCACTTAAATCCTTACCTTCCCCATATTTGCCATATTTCTGCATTTCTCTTTTTATTAACAATTAGTCACATTCACATGACAGCAGCTGGTAAATCTGAATGCACCGTTCGCAAGTTTACACACTAACCCGCTGATACAGAAAACAGGCCCACTAAAGACAGAAGGAATACTGCAGGTGGCCTTAGACACATACTAAATTAAATCATTAAATCCGGTCTGTGTGTGTGTGTGTGTGTGTGTGTGTGTGTGTGTGTGTGTGTGTGGTGTGTGTGTGTGTGTGTGTGTGTTATTGTCTTGTCTACCTATGTGTTCCACCTAACTCCCAGCGACTTATTGCCCTGCACAGAGGAATCCAGATGGTGTGACAGCAGGTACTCATAAGTCTTAAGTTAATGTGCGTAATGTAAAACTGGTCTGTCGGGTATGTTTATAGCTTTGTGTACTCTGTGAGCATTTATGTTTCAGCATAGGGTGTCAACCAAAAAGAGAGGTTTAACTGACTTCTTGTGAGAGGGTAAAACCCACGTATTCACCTGGGTGTTTGGATGTGTGCCGTTCATTTTTGGTGGGTATTTGTCCCTCATGGCGGGTATCCAGCTGGCCTGGCACCGCTTGGCAAAGGAGCGAACATCCAAGATGCCTAACACACAGCCGCAAACGCCCAGCTCATCCTCCAAGATGAAGCTGTACTCGGGGCACAAAGCTAGGCATGGTCCAAGACATCTAAGAGAGTGAAATCAAGTGTTATTGATTTGATACAGTATTTGACAAATCGTTGCACATTTCCTGATTGAGTTTCTTTTCTCTCTCACACGCAGACACACCTGTCTCCTATGACATCTGGATGAGCAGCACTAGACTCTGGCCACCCTGTGTCCTCAGGTGAAGTTGGCGGACCATTCGATACAGCTCCACCTAAGTACACAACCATTAAACCATGTGTCTTCCCACACCAATGTTTAAATGTTGAACTAAAAATCTACGACTTTTAACAATTTAAATTTCCACCTGAAAGTTCCACCTACATGATCTACTGGTTTGCTCCTGATTGTTTAATGCAACTGTAAAAGCTAACACATGACTTTCCAATTCCCCTTTTGTTTAACCTCTTTGCCAGTTGTGCTATGTCAAGAGTTTCTGTGTGTGGGTGAGACTACCTTGTCTTTGCTGTGGTAGGGCCTGATGTTGTAGAGGCGAGTGGTAGGGAAGAGAGGAGGAGGATGAGTAAAAAGTTCACTGCTGCTCCCTACTGGGAGAAGCATCTGCACACAACATGGGGAAAAAAACATGCACACACATTAGGCAGTTTTAGGGGGCTTGACTTGATAGAGCAGAGTAAAATATTGTCAAGAATTTAAGAAGAGATACATCACGAATGGCATCTGAAATATAACACACTACCTGCACCTCCCCTGACACACCCCCTTTTGAACGCCCATGGCTCAGACTCTACTCCCAATTGGTCCGCTCCCGTGGTCTTCCACACCCTAACACAGAAAAAACAATCATATGTGACAGGCTACATTACATGTTCAGGGCCAGTGAAATACCAGAAAAGTTACCAGTGCACATAGAGAATGATCGCGCAGCTTGAAATTTATGTCGAGCAAAAAACTGTAGAGCTTTACAACATTACAGCCCACAAGAGACGCTCGCTGAATAAACTTGTCATAAAAAATTCAGTCCTCCCTATCAGCTGGCTCCACTGAGTCGAGCTGAGAGTAATGACTGAGTTTTGTAGTAATTTATTTCAGGCGCAGATACAAAAAGTTTAAAGACCATCAGAGATCAGGCTTACTCACATTGGAAGCAGTTCCTCCAGGAGCCGAGGGCAGAGCTGTCACTCAACACTCGTCCATCTGAGTGAGTAAATGGGCCACGTTAGAGCATAAGAGAAAAATGAGCCACAGACAATGACTGGCAATAATCTACAAAACCGCTGATTCCACCAGTGTCCTCTCTTAACATAAGTACTGAATAGAGTACAGTATATAGTATGTGCTACATTATATAATGCTATAAATAATAGAGCAGAGACTATAGGGCATACTACTAAAATAGTAATCATACAACCGGACAGTAGATAAATTATTATTGGATACACAAAACAATAGTAATCTGTTACATGCAATATTATACAATACTATAGTATACTATTATTGTATTCTACAGCAGAATATTATGTTGAGCTCTTACACTATAGCACTATAATACTACACAGTTTCTCAATATAACATCAGTTCAATAGCATGGTAAACTATATACTGCAGCGTGCTTCTAGTATACTAGGACCAAGTGGTATACTTCTACTATGCTGTTATGCTCTGTTCTGCTACTGTAGGGTAGCACTGTAATATTTATTTATCTAGTATTCTTTAATTAACTTAACCTAATTATCACATCCAGACAAAGCGCTTTGCAAGCAGTTAAGTGGGCACATCTGTACTTTCTCAAGTTCAAGTGAAATACATTGTGTAACAACTGTACCTCACATGTGGCACAATTGCTGTGGGATAGCTGTAACAGCACAGAATTTCAGTGGAAACTTGTTTGAATGTGAGCGACAAATAACTTCCTCCTTTAATACCTTAAAGCAAGAAACAGGAGTGAACATTCTGCCGTTCTACATCTATATCTATCTATAGCTATCTATTCGGTCGTTAAGTCTGACGTCACTAGCCATGTCTGGGCCTAAACTCCGCTGCAGGTCCATATATCAAACGATCACTATGGCATTACTGAGAGTTGAAAAACTGTCTAAAGTCTTTCATCTTTAATAAAATGATAAGCGTTAAGCTCTACCAGGTGTAACAATTGAGTTTAACATCCAGGCATCCATGAAAACGGAATTTATGACATTTAACGGAGTTAGAAGTTAGCAGGAAGTTAGCTCGCTAGCTTCTATCTAAATACAATATAGCTGTCCTGACTGCAGGGTTTTGGAAACAAATTAAAACGTACAGCTCTGTTATCACTTCCAACATAAATGAAGACAGAAAACTAAACTGCAGTGACGTTTGTAGGGTTACTGAAGTTTGGCTAGCTGGTATATAATGATGTGCTACGTGACCGCTAGCGACACAGCTATGTTAGCATAATATAAACAAGCTAACTTTTTTTTCCACTCGATAAAAGTTAACGTGAGTGTTTTCGGTGGTCAGGAACAAATGTAATCGGATGGCAGGATGCTGTAAAAGGACCAAACTTCAGCCAGGAGAACAACTGAGATAATCCATCCACAATACGAGGTTAGTCATTCATATACTGCTGCATGGGCTGGGCTGTAGTTACATCCTAAGGTTTTAAAAACTGAGCTTAAATAAATGATTAGCGGTAATAAAAGCCGAGGGAGGTCAACAGTGATCACTGACTGTTTTAGGAGCTTTTTGAGATTAAATAGAAGAAAATACAAAACATTAAACGTGTTAACAAACACAAAAGCCATATTAAACGCAGACTACTTTAGGCCCGGAAGTAGGATTCGTCACGTCATCACTTAAAGACCGGATAGCGATCTATTTATCTGTCTATATATAGATAACTCCCTGTCCACTTCCTTCAGCTAAGCTTGTCTCAGTTCATTAACACAAATATCTGATCAGCTCACAAATTTAAGTTTAAGTGATTTTAAGTGATTTACGTGCCATACCTTGAAGCACTCCTGTCTGCTTAGAACAGGAAAGTACAGCTACAGTTCAAACTTGGACAAATAAAAGATTGTTAAACTATTGCCTGGTCTGATGAGTTGATTTCTCCTACAATATTCCAATGTTACAGTCAGAATTTGGTGTAAACAAAATGAAAGGAAGGATCCTGCATTATCTGGTAGCCTTAGTGTAAGAGTGTGGGGAAGTTTCTCCTATTTAAATGGCACAGCCTGCCTGAGTATTGTTATTAACCATGTCCATCCATTTATGGCCACAGTGATACGTCTTCTGACAGCTGCTTCCAGCAGGACAACGCACCATTTTGGTGTTTCTTGAATGTGATAATATGAGTTCAATGTAGTTAAATGGCCTCATTCTCATGGCACATTCTCGTACAGCAGGGAAGATCAAACCAGTGCAGAGTCCAGTGCGTCACACTGATAGTATAGCAGTATATTGCTTCTGTCCTTACCAAGCCAGCATATAAATGCCTTTGCCACCAGAGCTGTGTTCCTCAAGTCCCACACATAAGGGTAAAGGTCATAGAGCACAGCCCTGTTGTTCCCACCCACGACACTGCAGTGGAGCTGCGCTATGTCTTCACACAGAGAAAGAAACCTGGAGGCCCGCCCACGCCATTCATCAACCTGAGGACATAATAAAAAAAAAAACATTATGTTGTTTTTTCTCACGTGTAACGTACACAACCAATCCAAGTACCTCAACAAAAACTCCCCTCATAATCCTCACCGACCTTTTGAGGTGCTGCCTTCTTGCTGTTAGTACTGACCAGCTGGCAGTTTGTTTTCAGCCAGGTCAGATCCTGCAGTAGCTTCTGGGCTGATGGGCCGTGCTCGTGAGGGAGATAATGAAGACCAACCAGCAGCCGCACCTGCGACTCACTTAGCAGACCTTTCCCACCGCAGAGCCCACGAACCTGGGCTTTCTGTCCCCGACCTCCAGCCGCAGGTGCTCCAGGCTTAGTTCCTGGAGGTGGCTGGATCGGTTGGCAAGACTGGTATGACTTCCTTTTTTCCCACTCTCGTCCTTCCCTCTCCCCACTGACTTTAGTGGGTGAGGACGGAGGGGAGCTGGAATTCAGGGGGAAGACTGGGAGTTTGGCCACAGTAGAGGTTCCTCTGAAGGTGGAAGGACAGTCAGATCTGTCAGGAGTTTTACAGTGAGATGTTGGGACAGAGGCACGCTGGTCTGTCCTTGTGTTCTGCCGGCCTACAATTATCATGAAAATAAAAAACACGCACAGGTTGTGTGTTTGAGTAACAACACTACACTGCAATAATTCATCAGTGTTTAGATAGATAGATAGATAGATAGATAGATAGATAGATAGATAGATAGATAGATAGATAGATAGATAGATAGATAGATAGATAAGATAGATTTTACCAGCTTGTAAAGGTTGGTTGAGTTCTTCCATCCAGTCTTTCAGTGCAGCAGACAGAGCTCTATCAGGACAGTACTCACACTCCTCATCTGGGGGACACACAGCAATGCATTGACAACCAAAAACAGCCACACCTTGCATACTCGTTCTGTAATGGTTATTAGCTATAAGGAAATTATTACAGGTCTGCACAACAAAACCTGCCGTAACAATTAAAATTTTTCTCATCTCCTCTTCTGAAAGCCTCTTTTGTCCTCCAGCCTACCGCTCAGTTCTTCCTCCGCAGAGGGACCGGGCTCTCTCCTCATTTCCTCCTCCATCACACCGTGCAATTATTCCTCAATCATCACCTCTCCCCACCCAGTCTTCAGAACATCACACGCTACACTGCTTCTCTGTTTCGACAATTATCCATCCAATTCCCTGCCCCTCCCCCCGCGACAAACAAAAAAAAACTGTGTGCCTGTGCTCTAATGCATTTTACTGTCATGGTAAATGAGATGCAATGAATATGAACAACATATCAAATTCATGTGATGCTGAGCCCCACTTTTGCAGATGCGTGACAGGAATTCTTACATTACACTTCGAACATAACTTATTATACACCGTGTGAGAAAGACTAATGAAATGACTTAAAGTCACAATGTTTTAACAGCTTTTACAATAAAGGCAGATTGAGGCTGGTGAAACTGTGTAGGCTGAAAGCTTAACAAGTGACTTTAGAACAACAGATGGAGCTTTAACTTTGCTTATTTGGTAGGTAATATCAGACACAATGGCTGTCTGGTGGTCAAAATGATGCTAGTTGCCAAGCAACACGGGCTTATTAAACATTTCTCCTGAAGCGATGGGACTAACTGTACATGGATGTGGTCTGGCAGAGACAATATTAGTTTATTAACTCAGGACATCTCCTGTCTCATCATACTCCCTCACTCCATCTGCCTTCCCTCAGTTGGATCCCTCACCTTTCGTATCCTCTTTCCCAGCTCTGTGCCAGCTTCCCAGCGTGTGGAGCGGGATGTAGTTGGCTTCAAACTCACAGTTGGGTTAAGCAGCAGGCCCCTGAGATGGTTCTTAAGCTGAGGCTCTCGACCCTTAAAGGGCCCAAAAACAGGCGTCTGGAGTCATAGTCATTTGCGTGCAGATTGTCCCAGATAAGTGGGGGCGTTGGAGGACTGACTCCACTCAGCCAGGGATTCCAGTGAGAGTTTCCTGGAAATGACCTTACTGCCTGTGGAAAGAGAAAGCCCAGTGCTCAAAAATCTGTTAACCATTTTCCACTTAAGAGGTTTACGTTAGGACAGCTAAATAAATAAACCTACAGTCAGATAACAATGTTACTGTGAAATCCTGGAGTTACAAGGTGCTT